GTCGGAGCACACTGCTGTTGATTTCCTCCTTTGACACGTTTGAAAGTGACGTTCTAATGACACGTCACGGTGGGGGCGCTTTTCCCCTCGGCTGCGCCTCCTCCTCCCCCCCTCCCCCCCCCACACACTCCCCGTAACAAGTATTGGACGCGGTGGGACGCGGTCCCGCGACCGAGCGGAGCGCCAGCGCCCGGCCTGGCTCGGCCGCGCACCCGAAATTTGCATGTTGCCGTTTTCTATTTAGCGCTAGCGCGGCAAACCGTTGGGAGGGAGCGCGATGGAAAGGCGCAGACAAAGCACGCAAACAACAACAACGGCAAAAACCAAGAAAAAAACACAGAACGTGGAGGAAAAGAAAACAAAATAAAACAGCGGGGGGGAAAAAAGGGCGCGCGCGGTGAGGGAGAAAGTCACAAGACTGAGTTGTGTTTAATTTGCGGCGGGGCCGTCGTGGTGGTCTGCAGCGAAAGCTTTGGGGGCAGGCCCCTGTGGCGGGGCGGGGTGGAGCCGAGCGGGACCACCAAGGGCTTTAAGGCCCCGCCAGCCCGCCGCGCCCTGCCCCGCCCCGGCCCGCCTCGCCACGGGCCGCCCAGGCTCCCACGCGCACCCGGACGATAATCCCCGTCGACGCCAAGAGGTTTGTGCGCAAGCAAAAACACACCCTCGTGTGTGTGGCGCAGAGCCCCGCCGCCGGCAAGTCTGTTGTTATTCACATTTTCAGTTTAAAGGCAATAATAGTGACAACATGTTATCAGGGCACAAGTTGGGTACGGCGCCTTGTAAAGGCGTATGTCTTCCTTTTTCGATCGGCAATAATGCCCTTTTCTTCTGCAGCCCGGCTGCTGCTGCGGGACTTAAAGAGAAGAATAGCTTCCCGCCCGGCCCCGCCCCGCCCCCCACTGCTGCTCTTCTGGAAGGCCGGTCGCGAACACTTTCTCGCTCCGCCTCTTCGATTTGTTTCCCGCAATAACGCGCCCGCGGCAAGGTGCGTATGGGGGGTGGAAAGGGGGAGAGAGAGAGAGAGAGAGAGAGAGAGAGAGAGAGAGAGAGAGAGAGAGAGAGAGATTGAACGGCCCTCGATTTATTTCCCCACTATTAGTGGGGGAAACTCTGGACCATTACGAAGAATAATCGCTAATCGTGGGCCAGGCCGGGCCTGGCTGCGCTGGGCATTATGACGATTGCCTCCGCCCACAACAAAATGGCGAGGGCGGTAAAGTACATGGTGGATGGGGGTTGCGCGCCCACGGTCGTAACTCATGTGATAATAATTATTGGACATCTTCCAGTGCGAGATTAATAATGAGTGTCCGTCCAACGCCAAACATATTGTTATCTTTGTAAGTGCTAAGGAAACAAACAAAGAGGGAATACGGATAGGGATAACGCAAGTATTCGCGAGTATTTGGCGTGTATTTCTCGATTCTTTCGCGAGTTGGCGCAAGGTTTTCGCGAGTTACCGCGAGTGTTGCGAGTATCTTGCGAGTATGTTTTTTTCTCGTTGTACAACGAGTTTTATAGTAAAAGACCGCTCGTTAGAAGTACGAAAGGTAGAATCAGGCTCCCACTTAGATGTACTTCGACCCTTGAG